GACACGTGCACCAGCAGCACCCAAATCAGGATAAACATAAGTCTTTGTGGTCCACACAGAGGGAACCCAAAGTTCATTCTGGGTGATCAGGGATGATTTTTTTTGGAGGGTTGTAATGTCTACGGTGGAGTCCTATTGTGGCGCTGTGGGTTAATGCGCTGGATGCAAAGTTGTTGTTGTTGTTATGTGCCGTGGAGTCAGTTCTGACTCATAGCAACCCTACACAGCGTTTCCAAGGCTGTAAATCTTTACGGGAGCAGTCCGCCTCTACTTTCTCCCGCGGAACTGTTGGTAGTTTTGAACTGCTGACCTTGAGGCTCACAGCCCGATTCGTAACCACTACACTACCAGAGACTGCAAAGTATCAGGAGTTAATTTCTCCCCTGGACAGTGGGACACCTCAGTGTCCTGAACAAGCATGAGAAAGAGCTGCTGGGGTCAGAATGCCTATATGTGCCCCTTTAACTAGAGGGGAGATAGGGTTTGCCGAGCATTTGTTCAGACTGAGGATGCATCAACTGTCTACATAAAAAAATTTTAAAAAAGAGGATTGGTGCATCTTTGGTTCTCATTGGGAAGAAGCCCCTTTTCTCTCACATATTCCTGTCTTTATTTGAAAACTCTGCTCAGAGTATCTTTCCCTCCATTCTCCACCTTGCCACCTCCTTTAAGACTCGATTGCAATGTCTCACCTCAGCAAAGTAGACCCTGATCCCAGGAAGTTACCTGTTGAAGCAAGCAGTTTTTAGCTCAGTCAGAGTAAATGATACCTGGAAAGCTATTCTCTGGGGCCACTGTTCTGCCTTCAAGTGCTCCCGGTTTTCAATCCGGTGTGATGATCGCTCTGAGTAAGCAGGGTGGGGTGGCTTCCTAGACATGGGATGTTGGAGAAGTGGGGATAGACCCGGAAGTGGTATCAGTCTTGGACAGAGGAAGGTGTGTGCATGGCCACTGCACCCATGCTCAACTACCAAGGAACATTCCTCTTCCTTCAGCCCTTGTTTCTGCACACACACACATGCAAACACACACATGTTCTTTGGAGTGTGACTCACAATTTCTATCTCCACCACAACCTAGGCTACTCCCAAGTTCCCCACCATAGCTCCATATTTACCTCTAGATCAACACTCTGATGTCTCCCTAAATATCCAGGTAGGCCTAGAATACCCCAGCCTGAACTCATCCCCTTCTCACCTCCAAGCAAGAAGCTCAGGGGCCACCCCCTTCTGCTCTCATCCCCACAAAGCCAGTCACCAGGACCTGCTGCTTTTCCTTCATACCATCTGTCTATTGCTTCCATGTTTTACAACCAGCTAGTATTCCTTTCATAGATCTGTTTTGGAAGAAGTGCAGCCAGGGTGCTCCCTTTTGAGGCCAGGATGGCTAAACTTCATCTCTCATACTTTGGACATATTGTCAAGAGGGAACAGTCACTGGAGAAAGATATCATGTTTGGTAAGATGGAGGGTCAGAGAAAAAGAGGAAGACCCTCAACGAGATGGATTGGCCATGTGGCAGGATCAATGGACTCAAGCATGGCAACAATAGTGAGGTTGGCCCAGGATCGGACATTGTTTCGTTCTGCTGTGCATGGGGTCACTATGAGTCGGTTCCGACTCGATGGCACCTGACAACAACAACAACAAGTATTCCTTTCATAATTTAAATAAGGTAAGGCAATAATAAATAAATCTTTTCAATGCCTTTGGCCTACCAGCCCTACTTTTATTCTCTCCTGGAACACAAAATCCTTGTAGCCATCCTTCATGCTGCTACAAAGTAGTCCTTCACTTGCTTTATAACACATTTATCCTGTGGAGTCCTGGTGTGGCACTGTAGGATAAGCACTTGACCATGAGGTTGGCTTGAACTGCAAGGCTGGCAGTTCAAACTCACCAACTGACCCTTGGAAACCCTATACAGGGTGGCTATGAGTCAGAACTCATTCAACAGCACTTAGCAACTATCACAACAATCCTGTGGTGACTTCCAGCCTGCACCTCTCGCTTGAATTCCAAACTCATATGGACAATAACCAACTTGCCTTCCATTGAGATGTCTAATAGGCAGCTCAGATTAACAGGTCCAAACCCCTCATCCTGACCTACCCCACCTCAGTCTTGACCCATCTTCACAAATGGCGAAACTATCTTTCCCCTTGCTCAGCCTCAAACCCTCAACTCCAGTCATCCTTAACTTCTCGCTTTCTCTGATCAGTTTTCTGCCTCATCCATCCCACTAGCAAATCCTGTGGGTTCTACCTTTCAGAAACTGACCATGTGTCACCACCCCAAGGCTGTCCCCTTTATCCCAGCCACCATCATCCCTCCCCTAAACAATGTTGCTACTTCCACCCTCTACCTTCTTCAGTCTATTCTGAACCCAGCAACCGAAGCAATGCTGTTAAAGCCTAAGATAGTCCAGCTCCCACTTCTGCTCAAAAGCTTCCCATGACTCCCACCACACACAGTGTAGAGACCAAAGGCAACAAGGCCATTTACAAGGCCACACAGGAACGCTATCCTCCACTTCTCTCCTTTCACTCCCTTCTGCTCTCCACTCACTACACTCCAGGCACCCTCACCTCCTTGCTGTGTCTGGGTCCAGGGGCATGGCTCATCCTCACAGTTGCTGCATTTGCTGATCCTTTTGCTTGGAATGCCCTCCTCACTATATTTCTATGGCTCCATGTTGACCCCATGTGTGTAGAGTAGAAGTACTCCCTAGGGTTTTCCAACTTTCCAAAGCAAGTTGCCAGGCCTGTCTTCCGAGGTACATTTGAACCACCTTTTGGTGAGTAGTTGAGCGCTTACCTGTTTGTGGCACCTAGGGACACCTGGTCAGCACATGCAAACCAAAACATCCATTACCATCCCATAGATTCCAACTCATCGCAACTCTATAGACAGAGTAGAACTGCCCCATAGGATTTCCAAGGCTGTAAATCTTTATGAGAAGAGATTGCCTCCGCTTCCTTCCACAGAGTAGCTGGTGGGTTCAAACCACTGACCTTTCAGTTAGCAACCGAGTGCTTTAACCACGAAATAAATACTTTTGAACAAAGGAGTGAAAGTTTGGCCCCTCTATTGCCATCCCTTGGTCTGCACAATGCTGCTCAACAGCCAAGGCCTCCCTCACAGACCTTACCCCATACCATCTCTGCATGCCTTCAGCCCAGAGTACAGCCGCGGTGCGTCAGAGCTTTCTCTACCTGGGATTGTGGCCATGCACGCACCTTCCTCCATCCAAGACTGATAACCACTTCCTGCTCTAGCCCCACTTCTCCAACATCCCATTTCTAATGTCACCACCTCTGGGAAGCCACCCTACCCTGCTCACTCAGAGCTCTCATCACACCGTATTGAAAAGCAGAACAGTGGCCCCAGAGAATAGTTTCCCAGGTATCAGTTAATCAGTGACTGAATACATTTTTGAATGAGGGTGAGACATACATAGAAGGCAAGCAGAGTTCAAGATGAAGGCTTTACCTTCTTTCTGGTATTCACTGTTCAGCCTATTTACTATGTTTCTGAATTCTCTAAATTAGCGGTGTTTGGCACGACATGGGCTCTGTGAGGACAAGAGCACCTCTCTGTCTCTCCTCTCTCTCTCTCTTTCTGTCTCCCCTCAGAGCCAGGGTTGAACCAGTAGGCCGCCCCTTTGAATGACCCGCACACAGGAAAACAGCACCCAGCTGGGAGTCAGACATCGCTTGCCCTATTTGATGCAGGAATCAACTTGATGGTCATGGGTTAGGTTTGGGGTTTGGTTGTTGTTGTTACTGTTGTTACGTGTCATCGAGTCGGCTGCAACTCCACAGCAACCTTGTATAGGGTTTCAAGGAGCGACTGGCAGGTTTGAACCACCGACCTTGTGGTCCTACAGCACCACACCAGAGCCTTGGGCAAATCCCTTCTGAAGATGAGTTCTGGTTTCTCCCCTGTCAAATGCTCTGTGGGGCAGAGTTGAGGGTAGGAAAACTGGAAGGGGTGCGGCTGTCTCTCGTGCCAGCTCACATCTGAGCCAGGCTTTCCAGGGAAGAGGGATGGCTGGAACACGTCCTCCAGCCTGCCTGGCAGTCAGCTAACCTATGCCCACAGTCTGGGAAGAGTGCCAGGTACACACGCTGGGCAGCAGGGGGCTGGCCCAGTACCAGAGCAGCAACACCTTGGTAGCTTTGGGGACGGGGAAGGGCTGTGCTTGGCTTGGGGTCAGCAGGGCCTGGGCCAGGGCACGGAGGGGGTAGCTGGCTGGTGTGTAAACGTTTGCTCGCTCAAGAGGTCTGAAGAGAGGGCCTGGCATCCTCATCCTCTCACAAGTTCAGCTTTTTAGTCAGAGAAGGCTGGCCCCAGGCTGGTTGGGTTAGCTGCTTCCAGGTTCTAGGAAGAAAATCCGAACCCAGGCCTGGGGCTGGGAGCAGGCAGGGTTGAGGATGCAGGGGAAGGGGAGGAGGCTATGACTTAAATCCGACAGAGGCGTTCCTGTAGTCAGTCTGCTGGAACCAGACCCAGAAAGGAGAAGAAGGGGACTTCTAGGTAAGACAAGGGGCACATGGGGAGGGGAGAGGCTGGAACTCTCTGGAGAAAGTTTGTGGTTGGGGTCGGGAAAGAGGGGAGGGGGGGGGTGCTGGAGGTCCTCAGGTAATACAATCACGGAATCAGGTAATACAATCACGGAAGAGGGTCCAGCCTCTAACAAATCCCCGGAGCTTTGGGGGTGAGGATCCAGGGTCCAAAGCGAGGACTGATGAGAAGTGGGTCCAGAGGGGGTTGGGGCAGGGGAGGGAGCAGGGGCTTTGGGAGCTGGATCCCAGGCAGAGACGTCGCGATGAGCGCTCCAGAAGCCAAGCACCCAGGGTCTGGTAAGGGTAGGACCGGAGAAGGACCCGCGCGGGCGGGGCGGGGCGGGGCGGGGCCGGGCTGGGGGCTGGGCCAGGGTCCCCGGGGCCGGGGCGGGGCCGGGCCAGCGCTGCGCAGCCGCGGGGTGACCGCCGCGCATGCGGACCTCGCCAGCTGCAGCCGGCGCCTCCGCCACTCCCGGGAGCATGAAGGACCGAACCCAGGAGCTCCGCACGGTGAGTCCACCGCCGGCACCCAGAGGGGCCAAACACTTCCTACCCGACCAGTAGCCATCGGGGCGGCGTCCCCCGGGACCCCGGGCAGGACGTGGGGTGCATTGCGGGGCCGGGAACCCCGACCCTTTGGAGTCCCGCCCCTCAGATCCCATCGGGGTCGCGGACTCGCGCGAGCTCGGTTCTGTTGGCTTGTGGACCGGCGGCCGAAGCCTAGGGTACTAGATAAACTTTTCGCGTGCCCTCGCTTTGGGCACTGGGGGTGTTTATCCGGGTTCGGTAGCGGAACGGAAACCTGACCTCCTGGCCCATGGAGCCGATCCCCCCTCTGCCTCTCCATTGACCCTCACCCCTATTCCTCCGGTTTGCCAGCTGGTATAGACAGACAGAGGGACCGGGATGGCCCCCTGTCTGGAGACCCTTTGCGGAGCGTGCTTTGGAACCCGGCCGTCAGGGGGGGACAGCTCCATCTCCTGGAGCTTCTTGCGGGGCGCCCAGCCACCCCCACCACCTGTGGCTCCCACCACCTGTGGCTCCCGGCTGGGTCTTGGTCCTCTGGGTCAGGGAGGGGCCAGAGCGGCCCCTGGCCCACCATCCTGGCTTTCATGCAGCTGTACCAGCGCTTCCTAGCCCTTAAAGGCTTTTTTGGTCTGATTCTGACCTGAATCTGTTTTCCCTTGGGTCTTAAAGGCCCCTAGGGTGCAACTCTTGGGGCGGGGTGCCAGAGGAGGGAATATGGAGGTTCTGAATCAGAGCCCACCCTCCCTCAACCTAGATGAGACCACTGCCCCAGCTCTGCTCATCGGAGCTCTTCCCCTGACCTCTGCCATTTACTAGGATTGTGGTACCTCTGCTCTTAGAGATGCCAGAATGGGAGCAGTGAAGGAGTTGAAGCCCACCTGTTTGTGGGAGAGGGGAAGTTCCGAGTCCTAGACCAAGTTCCAAGGTGGAGTCTTACCCAGCTCCTGGCTGATCACCTTATTGGCAGGCCTCAACTACAGATCTTAGGGGCCCCCAGCTCTATGGCCCCCTAGTACATACCTTCTCTCACCCAGCTTGAAGCTGGAGCCCTTGGTCCCATCGTATGAAAAGTTCCACATATCCTTTGGGCTGTGTTGATCTGTGATGGGCCCCAGCTGCTCTAACGCTCTGCGAGTTTATACTGAGTTTGTGTGGGGATCTCCCTTATTTTATTAATCTTGTCTCCTGGTTATCGTGGAGCTGTGAACTGTACCTCTCCTGCCTCTATCTCCCTCCTGCCTCCTCTGGCATGGCAGCCCCCATCCTCTCCTCAGACCTGAGTTATTCCTGGCCAAGCGCCCAGCTTCTGGTAAAACCCCAGGAGATTTCAAAGGAAGAAGTTGGTCCCTCAAGCTGTATGTCATCTCTAAACACTTCCCCCTGCCAACCTTTGTGGTTGCCCTCAAGTTTCCTGTGTTCTGTTGAGTCAGAAAGAACGTTTTCTTGATGATGAATGGCTATGTGGTGGTCTTGTGGTTTTGGGGTTACTGGTGGGTTTGAGGCGTTATGTGAGGACCGGGTGGGAGGAGAACAACAGTCCCTCACATGGAAGAGGGTCACTGGCTCATCAGCCTCTCCAGCCCACTTCTGGAGGAAAAATCAAGTCACAAGGGCAACACTGGTTGCCTGGTATATCAAGATGCTTACAGCCATGTGCATGAGCACTCACAGCCTGGGTGGTCTCTCCTGGTGAGGCCAGGCCACTATGTGAATCATCACAAGTGTTTGGAGCCCCTGAAGGCCCTACCTTCCATGAGGGTGGAGAGTGGGAGCTGTCAGTTTGGTAGTCCCTTTCCCTGTGGGCCTCGGGTTCCCAATGTATGAAGTGGACCCAGGAAACCCTAGAACCCAGCATCTTAGAGAGAGAGGTGGAGTCACAGCTTTCCCAAGTGAGTCCTCATTTGAGGGAGACCTTGAATCCCAGGTTTCCCAACTGTTAGCCCAGGGTCTCCAGGAATCAAGTAGCTGGTGCAGGCTGGACAGATGGGATGCTCAGGATGTTTGCTGCACTCCCCTTCCTCCTGCCCTCCCTCCCTCCTCCTTCCTCCTCCTCATTTCTCATCCCCACCCAATGCCACCACATTTGGAAGGAAGGCGCAGAGAGCGAGCGTATTTATATAAAAGTCACACTTGGAGAAGGAGCTGGCGCATTTCCTCAGCGCTCTGCAGGCCAGGCCCAGCCCTCCAGCCTCCTCCAGTACCCCCCCCCCCCATACACGGAGCTCATTTCTGCAGATGACAAGTGAAGGGGCACCTCAGGGTCCCTAGGAGGCCAGCATGGGGGGGCCTCTGCACTGTAGATAGGCCCTTAGGGATCAGCAGGGGCCAATCCTTGGGCGGGAAAGGCAAAAGCAGCCCAGGAGCCCAGGAGAGACATGCAGAGCAGGAGAACACAGGCGACCGTACTCTAACCTTCAGATGCCTCCTTCCCCCCAACTCAGCCCCCAGCCCCAGCCTGGGTTTCTCACCTGGAGTTGACCCACCCTCTGGCCCAAGCTATGTTTATATACATGTTGGTCCCATGTTGGGGGGCACATAGTACTTGCTAGAAGGCAGCTCCCCCAAAAAGCGCACTGGGAAGGAGCCAGGAGAAGGAGCTGGTCTTGAAGAGAAAGAAGGGTGGGACCTGTGTGAGTAAAGGCACCCACACAGGGTGATGGGGGTCTACCTCACTGTACTCGCCAGGGCAGGCCTGGAGGGCCAGCCCAGTGCCCTATTTTGCCTACAGTTTCACCTTCTGGCTTGCTCTCTGCTAGGAAGAGACTGTGGACCGGTTGGTCCTTAACCTCTCACAGCCGTTTCCTCAGCTGTCCTGTGGAACCGGTCGTACTTGCCTTGCAGATGAGGGTGTGAAAATAGCTGCCTGGTAGGCCTCAGCATGCACAGCATGGTTGTCACTGCCTCCATCCCTGGGGTTTCCCAGAATAAACAGTGGGTGGGGGCATGTTTTCATTTTCATTAGGGGTGGAAGGGTGGCAGATCCACAGCCGTCAGGGACTAACAGACAGGAACCCCGAGGTCCAGAAAGGCCCAGGCCTTACCCGGTCACCCAGTGCCATGAGGGCTAGAGCCCAGCCCCCTCCACTTCCTGATCTGCTCTGGGGTACTGCAAAGGGCCTTCCTGCTGAGAGCCGGTCAGAGAAGTGGGGGAGGGGCCAGCTGGGACCCTCGGACCCCTTTCCTGGAGCCTCTGTCTGGCCTCACACCCCCTGACTCAGCTTTGGGCCTCTGTGCACTTGAGATGTTAACTTTGATTAGTCATTAAAAAGAAGGGGGAAAAAATAGCCCTCGAGGCAGACAACAGCGACTCCTGCTCAGCCTGGCTGGTGCAATGAATCAACCTGCTGCCTGGCCCAATGCCATCCCCTAGGACGAGCCAAAGGCTGCCTCTTGGAGGCCACAGAGCGGCTTCAGGGACGATGTTCTGGAATCCAGAGCCTCTGCCCAGAGAGGCCAGCTCTGAAAGGCCAACTCGCCTCACCGGCTACCTCCAAACAGAGAGATTCTAGCAGGGTCTTTACCTGCAAGTAACACTGCTATCCACCCATCATTGGGCAGGCTGAAGGGGAGGTTGAGACCAGGCCCCACTCTCAACTCTGTGAGGGCTTGACTTCACACCCCATCCTCAGGAGGGAACCCTGAAAGCTGGTTTTTATTTAAAAATAAAAACCCTGGGGAGGCTCAGGAGAAGGTCTTGCAGCCTGGGCTGGTGGGAGGCGTGGAGTCTGGGTGGGTGTGTCCAGAAGGCAGCTCCATGCTGAAGCCACCCAAGCCCCCAGCTTGAACCCAGGCCTTTTCTAGACCTATGACTGCCACTCAGAGTTGGTCGATTCCCAGGGAGCTGGATCCCTTGTGTTGTTGTTGTTGTTGTTAAGTGCCATCGAGTCGGATCTGACCCATAGCAACCCTATACAGGGTTTCCTAGGAGCGACTGTTGAGCTTGAACCGCCGACCTTGCAATTCAAATGGCTTTGCAGTCTGGCGCATTAACCCACAGCGCCACACCAGGACTCCGGAGTCCTTATGTAGTAGTTATGTAATAGGGTACCAGTCTATGCCCAGCAGCTGGCAGGTCAGAGGTGTGCCTCCTCAAAGAGCCCATGTTCAAGTCCATCTGGGAAGCCCGGAAGGTGGTAAGCCAGGCTGGCTGCGGTACCTGTTTCTTTTGGTTCAGGAGTGTGCCTTGGTTAGGGGCAGGGAAAGTAAGCGTCCTACATCCATTTATTCAGTACCCAATGGACTCCTAGTGTGGTGCCGTAGGGTGAGCACTCAACCTCAAGGTTGGTTTGAACCACAAGGTCAGCAGTTCAAACTCACCAACCGCTCCTTGGAAACTTTATACAATTCCTCTATGAGTCGGAACCAACTCAACAACACTTGACAACAACAAGAGCCTGATTTAGTCTGGAAGATGTGTTCAGTCAGAGGCCACCAGGGCCTGGCCTGGATGGATGAGGTTGTAGGGGGCAACAGTTAGGGACCGTTCGATTGTCACTTGAGACAGCAGCAGGGAAGGGCTTGGAGCTCTCCTCCACAATCATGGATATAATCTCGGCTGTATTGATAGAGGCGGACCCCAGGACATGGGGCAGCCCTTTGCTCACACCAGTCAGTAGCAGATTCTGTTTCTACAAGGACATCTCCAAAAGCATTGCTGCTGGGATTCCAATTTACACATACACCAGTTGATTCCAAACAAAGCGTGTTAAACATGACTCTGCAATTTGATGTCTGCAGACAAGTTCTGTCGGTAATACACTTGTCTGAGTCTTGTTAGGGTGTTTTCAAAAAAAAAAATAGGAAATCTCCTGGGCCAGTTAAATTCGAGGCAGAAGGGTCAGTTCAGAAGGCAATGTCAACTGTTTTGTGGAATCCCAAAGGGAAAATCATGATAGAGTTTCTCCACAAACACAGGACACTCATAGGGCCTTAATAAGGAAGATGTTTTAAGAAAGTTGAAAACTGCATTTAGTGAGAAAAAGGCCAGGAAAGTTGTTCTAAGAATTGTCTTCCAGCACAACTATGTGCCTGCTCATTCTTCATGAGTGGCTAGGGAGGTCCCACGAGAATTTCATTGAGAAATCTTCCCCAGCCACTCTCCAATCCTGATATCGCCCCTTCAGACTTGTTTGTTTCCCCAAACTGAAGGACCATTGAAAAGGACCATGATTTGAATCCCTCGATGCCGAAACTGCTGTTTTCACATGGTGTCACTCAAAGAGTACGGAATTCTTCAGGGAGGGGTTAGAGAGATGGAAACACCGCCCCCAGAAGTATATAGACCTAGATAGAGGCAATGTCGAGATCTAATAGCTTCAGTTTTTGATATTTTGTATAATAAAAGTGTCTGATTTGACAGCAGTACCTTTTGACTTACTGCAGGAGACTTCAGACGCTATGCACAAAGGCTGAGACTGGTTTCAAGTTAGGGCCCTGGGAAGGATCCCAGTGACCTATAAAAGAAAACCCCAGGAGGCTGTAGATTCTGCCAGGAGGTGGTTGATGGGATCCCACCCCACAGGGCCCTTTTTGATTTATGGCTGGGGCCAACCCCCATGGCAAAGATAGGCTTTTTTGCACCAGGGCTGCCTGAGCTAGGAAGGGCTACCTGGGCAAGTTAGTGAGACATCCAGGTGCAGACTGGAAGCTGAGGCCAGGGTGACTCCAGGTCCCCTGGGGTTCCAAGCATGTGAGGAACCTGGGGAGCAAGCTGCTGACTTCGGGAGCAGCTGAGGAAGGCTTCCAGAAGGAGGTGGCACCAAGGATGAAGGGAGCCTGTGTTCCAGACAGAGGGAATTGTGGGATGAGATGGGACCACGGGACAGATTATAGTGGCAGGGAGATATGGGGCGGGAGGGAGCAGGCCTCAAGCTGGGGTGCTGGGGTCAAGGGGTGGGGAAGGGGAAGGAAGTAGGAGGACTTGGTGAGGGGATGGGGATGGTCCCCTTGGAGCAGCCTCTCAAGGTTTTGCTTAGAACCACAGGCTGATGCAAGCTGTGAGGTCAGGCTTGAAACCCACTGATTGGTTTGGGGGCTAACCTCAAAGCCACCTCTAGGGTAGACCCCACCCCAGGTGCCCCCTAGTTGCTGTCCCAGGTCTCTCCCCCACGCCCCCCTCAGGTAGAGGCCCTGAAGGATCTATCCCTCCCCCCTCCTGCTACAAAAGATAACCCCTGCAGCCAACAACCCACTAGGGGAGGCTATGGAGGGTGCAGGTCAGAGCAAGCTAGCCATGTGGAGAAGATACGTTCTCATTTTACAGATGGCCAGGGAGTGACCCCTATCCAAACTCCAGGGGTCTCTGAGACAGGGTCATTAGTAAGTGTCATCTCTGGGACTCAGGGATCTTTGTCTTTGGCCTGAGCTGAGAAGGGAACTGGCCCCTTCTCTTTCCCGTCCACCTGTGGGCACCAGGGCATTGTGGGAGATCCTGGCTCAATGCCAGGAGGGAGATCTGGCTCTCTGAGGGCTGCATTCTGCCTCAGTTTCTCCAGGGGGTCTCCTCTGACCCAGCACTTGGACCTGGTCTGGCCTTAGCATGTGGAAATGACTTCTAGATTCTGTGTCTATAGGTGGGCTTTGGGGAGGATGGGGGGCGTTACCTGGCAGCAGACACAGGCTCTGTGAGGAGCGGGAGAGGGGATGGATTTAGCTGCTGGGGCGGATGTGTGATCTCTTGATGAGAAGAGGCCCCTCCCGCATGTCTCCACGAGGCTCCCAATCCCCTCTCATTGTCTGGCCCCCACTTTGGCTGGGTTCTGGGAACCCAGAATGTGCTCTCTTCTCACGCTCTGAAGCTGGGCATCACTGTCCCCATTTCCTGGATGAGCAGACAGTGCCTAGACGAAGTTCCCCTGGCCCTTGTCCTGAATGCTCGGGGGTCCCCTTCATTTCCGTCCCCTCCACTTCCACCTGTCAGTCCTCAGCCCTGACAGGAAAGGAGGTGTGGCGGAGCCCCACCCTAGAATCCAGATAAAGAGGGACAAACATCCCTGCCCTGGGGTACCCAGCTGGCCTCCCTCTCTGGAGGACGACTTTGACACTGCAGCAGAGCGGCTGACCCTGGTGGGGGCAAGGTCTGGTGGCCACGGGGAGTGACTTTGATACTCCTGGAGCAGGTGGCCTGGGACCGACACGTGTATCTGGGGCCTGAGGAGACACGAAGCACCGCCAGGCCCAGTCCCAGTCCTAGGACTAGAGGGAAGGACAGTCAGTCTGCAGTTAAGGCTGACAGGGAGAGGAGAGAGGCCCTGCAGAAGGCTGAGTGGGTGAACGCAGCACCCAGGATGTGGTGTCGGTGCGCTAGGCCTGGGACAGGGTGGATAGATAAACACATCGCCCCTACAGAGCCTTCCCCAGAAGGGGTTCCGTCTTTAAGGTCATGGGCCGTGGCTGGGTCCCTAAAAGTAGGGAATCCAGATGCCTGTCTCAGACAAGGCCTGCGGGGGGGGGGGGGGGGGACAGGGGGCCTGAAGCAGGCCCAGATAAGGACACCCTTGGGTGGCTTTAGTCACAGGGGCTCAGACCAGGGTCACCAGGCCGTAGGTCTGTTTGCCTGACAGGAAGCAGGGTCTCTTCAGCTGCACCCTGAGGTGAGGGCTTACACGGAGACCACCCTGGGCCTGCAAGGAAGCGGCAGCTAGTCTTGGGGAAGAGCCTCATGCTGGGAGGTGGACACTTGGCCCTGTCACCAGCCTAGTAGGCTGGGTCTCTCTCCTTCCAAGGGTCTTCCTGGTCTTGTGAGGGCTCCACCTGTGAAGGCTGGGGACGGAGGGCACAGCCAGGCCTGTCCCGTCGCTGTAAGAGGTTCTGGGGGGAGGTGGACCACTCAGGGTCTGTATCTGCATTCTGTCTGTGTGTGCTCATGTGCTGGTCACTTGGGGTCCCAGGTCCCACTCCAGACTATTCATGTGTGCACCTCCCTCCCACTGCAGGCCAAGGACAGCGACGATGATGATGATGTCACTGTCACTGTGGACCGAGACCGCTTCATGGATGAGTTTTTTGAACAGGTGGGAGCCAGCCCACCCCCATCTCACCCCATACACTGACCTTGGCCAGTCACATGTCCCTTCTGAGCCGTGCCCAGGTGTCTGAGGTACCTGTTCCTGGCTCAGCAGCCCAAGTGGGTACCAAACTACTGAACCCATTTTGAGGGTGAGTAAAGTCCTAATGTAGGATAAACACCCACCACTCCTCAGAAACTCTACACAAGGTCAGTGTGAGTCAGAACTGAGTCAACAGCACTTCACAAAACAACAGACTATACTCAGAGACTGCAACACCTCCCCCTCCCCGACGTCCTGAAGCTGTGCTGGCCCTCTCCCTGAGCCCCTCCCCGATACACCTGCCCTCAGGTGGAGGAGATCCGTGGCTTCATTGACAAGATCTCGGAGAACGTGGAGGAGGTGAAACGAAAGCACAGCGCCATCCTGGCCTCCCCCAACCCCGATGAGAGTGAGTGTGTGGGTGTGGGGAGGGGGAGGCCAGGACCCCACACTGTGGGAGGTTGAGGGTGCTGGGACCTGGCAAGTAGGGAGGCAGGAACCTCAGAAGGAAGCCACCATCCCAGGCCTAGGGGTGAAAGGTCAGTGCCCAGGATGACAGTGCCCGGGCAAGGGACGGACAGGTGGCCAGCCCCACCCTCAGCAGGTGAGCCCGCCTCTCTCTAAGGCAACTGGAGTCTGGCCTCTGGGCCCAGCCCCTCCCTCTCCCTCACCTCCCCAGGGAGCAGATGGCAGTCTGAGGCCTGCGCAGTGCAGTGGGAGGGCTGGTCAGCCAAGCAGGCAGAGCTTCTGGCAGGAGCTGGCCACCTGGGCATCCTCAGGACTCTGCCTCCACACAGGAGTTGCCCCTCTGTCCCCAGACAGACCCTCATGACCTGGCTGTCAGTTCCTGATGTTGACAACCACACCAGGCTGATGACTCATGGGGTCACATCCTTCCCCTGGGGTGGTTGATGGAGGAAGGGGGCTCGCTCACCTTTATCCCTGAGGTGCCCTGCCTCCACCTCCTTGCTGTAGACGTGTTCTCTTGCTGCACCCTGCCTCTCTGGCTCCTTTAGAAAGTGCCAGCCTGTGGGGGAGTGTCCCTAGGGGTGCAGTGAGTTAAGTGTAGGACTGCTAACTGAAAAATAGGGGGTTCGAACACACCATCCGATCCCAGGGAGAAAAATGAGACTCTGCTCCTGTCAGGATTTCATTTTGGAAATCCTAGAGTGCACGACTCCTCTGGGCTGTAGGAGTGCTTTGAATTGAGCTCAGCACCAGGGCAGTAGGCTTGGTTTGGGGTTAGCCTATGGGACCGTGGTGTGGTGCTATAGGGTAAGCACTGGGCTGCTAACCTCAAGATCAGTGGCTCAGACCCAGCAGCTGCTCCTTGGAAACCCTATACTGGGTCCTTATGAATCGAGACAGACTTGGTGACTCTTAACAACAGCAACATGGAACCCTGGTGGCACTGTGTCTTAGGCATTAGACTGCTAACTGCATAGTCAGCAGTTCAAACCCACTAGCTGCTGCTCTGTAGGAGCAAGATACAGCTTTCTGCTCCCTTAAAGATTTCCTCTCAGAAGCTCTATAAAGGGTCTATGAGTCAGAGTGTCCTCAGTGGCAGTGGGTTTTGAGGCTAGGGCCCGATGGGCACAGCACAGTACTCAAGGAGAAGGATCTGGTGCCCTGGCTGGCCAGCAATGTGGCTCTCCTCCTTCCCTTCCCCCCCCCCCACTTTCCTTCAGGGTGGGATCTAACTATCTCTTTATCTGTGACCCTCCCATGCCCCGCCCCCGCCCCCCACTGGTGTTCTCAAAAACCCAGAATAAATCTTCCCACAACTCCGAGGCTATTGCCACACACACACACACACACACACACACACACACACACACACACACACACACACACACATCCCGAGTCCAAGGCCAGGCCCTGGGAAAGTAGGGTGCGTCTGTGGGGGCACGGAGACTGTCTGGGAAGGGTGGGATGAAGCAAAGGTCCACCCGGGGCAGGAGACAGAATGCAGGCACCTACATTGTGGGACCGCCAGCCAGTGATGCAGTGTGTGTGTGTCATGCTTACTACCCGAATGTGTCCTGTGGACTGCTCCTGGTGAGGGTCAGAAGATAGCTGGAAGGGGAACAGAGTTCTAAAGTGCTGGGGAGTTGGGGCTCTGCTGACAGGGTGGGACCAGTTCCACAGAGTCACCCTCCAGGACCCTGCAGAGCGTGAACAGTTGGCAGCCCCACGGGTCTCACTGAGGGATGGGGCTCCCTGTTGGGGGCTCTGGGCAGAGACGGAGCAGACTGACAGGAAGGAAAGCAAAGAGGGGGGCTCTCCTGGGCCAAGGCTGGCGCGGCCTCCTCTGGGGGCTGCCATCAAACTGGGCTATTTTGAGTCTGAGCAAAAGAGGCTGAGATATCAGAGCAGCTGGTAACCGAGTTTTCCTTTGTTCTCACAAATGTGGCACCATCCTCCTCTCCTCAGAGCCCCCCAACGCCCTTAAAATGTTCCACTTTGGGGGGGCTCAAAACAAAGGCCTGGTTCCCACAAACGAAGCACCCTCATCAGAGCCCCCAGTCCCCTTAAAAAGTTCCACTTGGGAGGGCGCTCCATCTCTTAGCCTTATCCTGATAAGCCACTATAAACCCTCCATAGGAGCAGCCCCCACCCTAGAGGTAAGCATGGGGTGCAGTCGGACTGGGTACTGTCCTGACATCCCAGAGTGGGGAGTCCAGAGGGCTGCTTGAGTTCTGGGTGTGACCAGGACCCATGGCTCCGCCCAGCACCCACGGGGAAGCAGTCAGTCTGCCCCACTTGACCAGCCAGCTCCTTGAAAGGATTGGGGTGAGCTGGGTACCCCCACAGGCTTTGATTGCTTTTTGGATGATGGTCCCATCTGGAACAAGAGCCAGAGACCCCATAACCCCAATCCCCCCATCAGAATGTCAGCTTCTGTCTCAAAGGCTAGGACTGCCCCCAGGCTCCCCTCCTTTCCCTGGCCCCCATCAGTTCCCACCAGGGCCAGGTGCTCCGGCCCCCTCCTGCCCACTGGGCAGTAGGCCCCACAGAGCTTGGCAGCCAGGGAGGGGCAGCTGGGAGAGTCGAAGGAGGCAGTGAGGTAGGGGGAGGCTCCCCGTCTCCCTATCAGTTAGATGCTCAATCCCCAAAGTCACCAGGTGAGCTAGCGAGGTGAACCCTACCTTCAACTTGGGCAAGTAGTAAGTGTTCCAGTACCAGTTCCAGCTCGTCCACCGTGATTCCTGCCTTAAATGTAGCCCCATCTTTGTGTGCTGCGAGGGAGGAAGGGAGCTCCCTGGAAAGCCTTGTGGAGGGGTGAGGCTGCAGGTGATAGGGCCCTGGCCCAGGAATGGGGGCCAGGTGGAGCCTGGGGAAGACTCCACCTGGCCCCAGTGCAGTGGGGACCTCTGTCTTCCCAGAGACGAAAGAGGAGCTGGAGGACCTCATGGCCGACATAAAGAAGACAGCCAACAAAGTTCGTTCCAAGTTGAAGAGTGAGTGTGGGCTCAGGCCTTGTTGGGGTGTAGGGGTGCTACAGGCCCACTCTCTGGAATCCCATAGGTGGGTTGGCTCTTGTATTCCTCTCTGAGGATGTCACTGGAGGCCCATTCACTCTCCCCCTCCTTGGCAGGCCTGTTGGAGCCAGGCTCTGGGCTGGGCCAAGGAGCCAAGTGTGCGCCATTCTGAGCACTGGCCCCCTTATGAGCTCCTTGTGCCGACAGACTAATGGGGCTGCGGGTCTTGTGGGGAGCCCCCCGTTCCCCTGTGGGCACAGACACGCCCACCCGGGAATATCCAGGTCTAAGCCACCATTCTTCCAGTGCACCCCCTGACCCTTTCCACTCTGGGGGTGGTTGCTGAGTGGGTGCACACCTTCCCGGGCTGATAGTGGACGGGACAGAGCCGCCAGACCTGTCCCATGTAGGTGCTCACACACACAGCGTGACATGCACATGAGAGCAGGCCCCACTTCGGCCTGCCTCCATGATGCCTGCTCTCCTCCTCCCTTACTTCTCTTGCCGACTCCCCATGCCCCCATGTGCCCCAGGTCCTGAGCCAGAGCCTGGGGCAGGGATAGGGAGTGAGGGGTGTCACTCAGCCACCCTCTGCTCCCCCAGCCATTGAGCAGAGCATCGAGCAGGAAGAGGGACTCAACCGCTCATCCGCCGACCTGAGGATCCGGAAGACACAGGTGCAGGCAGGGATGATGGGACGGGCAGGTGCCCGACTGTAGGCCGGGCCTGATGCTGCCCCCTTGTCTCCTCTTGCCAGCACTCCACACTGTCCCGGAAGTTTGTGGAGGTCATGTCGGAGTACAACGCCACGCAGTCTGATTACCGGGAGCGTTGCAAGGGCCGCATCCAGAGGCAGCTGGAGATCAGTATGTGCGGGGCCAGGCCGGGCGGGGCTGGGCTGTTGTGCTCCCTGGAGAGAGAGCCAGGCTCAGCCTGATCCCTGCTTACAGCTGGCCGGACCACCACCAGTGAGGAGCTAGAGGACATGCTGGAAAGTGGAAACCCAGCTATCTTTGCATCGGGGGTAAGTGCAGACCCCACTGCACCCCTTGAGACCCCTGAACTATATAGAGAGTGCAGGACTGGCACTGTTTGGGCACCAGCCACTGTGGGGTGGCTGAAGAGAAGGCCAAGGTCAGTTGAGGGCATATGCATGTTAGTGACAAAGGTAGAATGAAGACCCTTCATGATCTCCTGACTTTGCCCAGTTAGAGCCGTGTCCCACCAGCTGCTGGTCCATAGGCCCTCCTGGAAGACAGGGTATAGTGGGCAGACCCTACATCCGAGTGATGCTCTGCTCTCCACTGGGCAGCGGTCCTTCCTGGAGGAGGTGGCACACAGGTGTGGGAGGCAAAGGTCCACAGAGAGGGAACGATGACAGTTACATACAAGCAGGAAGAAAAGGGGAAGCTTCCATTCAGGATCCGGCTCCATGGCAATGGGGCGGGGGCAGCCCACTTGAGATCTGGTAATCAAGCCCACAGGAATAAAGGCAGCCATTGATGGAGCAGCTTCCATGAGGCAAGCACAGGGGGCATGCAGGACCAGCCCTATCTGACCAACGAGGAAATCAGGTCACACACAGTAAACCCAGTGGGAAATTGGAGGAGTCTCAGCCCTCCCTTCCAGAACAACTCAGCCACTGCCCATCCTAGCTGCCTTCCCCTCTGGCCTTCTGCCTTTCTGGTCCTGGTCCCCACCCACTTCCCAGACCACTGGGTCCCAATTCCTCACTCCACCTGCTAGATCATCATGGATTCCAGCATCTCGAAGCAGGCGCTGAGCGAGATTGAGACCCGGCACAGTGAGATCATCAAGCTGGAGAACAGCATCCGAGAGCTGCACGACATGTTCATGGACATGGCCATGCTTGTGGAGAGCCAGGTGAGTGCCCGGGGGCCCCCTGGCCCCCACCCCAGCCCCACTGGAGCACCTCGGGCTGCTCTAACCCCTTCCTTTCTGCCCCACACGCTGCTCTTGTCTGGGAGGGACCAAGTCTCAGGTAACTAGCCACCTACTGTGGACAGTGCCGCCAGGACTCTGTCCACCGCATGGCCCTGTCCACCTGAAGGACCCCCCACCCCACCCGCATGGCTTTGCTTGACCTGCCACCAAGCCCAGCTTCCTGGCGGAGATGTCTATAGGAAGAAGGGGCAGCCAAGGCAGATACAGGGAACATTCCCTCACTGATCCAGGTGCTCGGGAGATATTGGGAGGTGGCAGTGTAGTAGAGCAATAGTCCTGCGCTGGCCCATGTCTATGAACCACCTGGACGGTGTTTTAAGTTTCCTGATCCCTCTTCCCAGGGATAGGTAAGTTGGGGGTGAGAGTCCATGAATTTGCATTTCTGCTACTGGTCTGAGGACACTGTCATAGTGACGGGGCTGTCACTGTGGATGGGGTGGTCAGGCCTCTGAGGAAGTGACATCTGACTTTCAAGGGAACAGGAAAGAGCTGGCTCCCAGACAAAGTGACCAGCAGACGCAGAGCTCCTGAGAGGAGCAGGGCCTGATATCTGAGGAACCTAGTGCAGTCTGGGAGGCTGGAGCACATGGTGGAGGAGATGAGAGGAAGTTAGAGATGAGGTCGATGGAGCAAGCTGTCGGGGGGCATTTGGATTCTCTTCTCCTTTGGAAGGTTTTAATCATGGAAGTGATGTGACCTGAGTTACAAAAGCAGGTTGGCCAGAGGGAAGAGACCACCATGACATGGACACCTGTGGGTGGCCATGGACTTGAGAGAGCAAGAGAACAGCCAAATGTTAATATTGTCCTGGAAGCACAATGGTCGGATCAGCCTCTAGGGGCAGCATGGGAGCAGACCGGGTTGAGTGAGCTGTGGGGTGGGCAATGGGAGGGACACTATAACAAGCCAGGGATCTTCAAGGTTGAAGCCTGCAGATCATCAGAACAGAGTGGGACCCTCATACCTAGAGGATGGAGAGGTGCTTAGTCTGATCACCTTGTGAGCTCCAGCCAGGCTAGGCCCAGACTCCAGCTGACTCCAGCCTTCTAGCTCTGCTTCTCCCGTTCAGACATACAGCTCTGACGCCAGGCTCTGGCACTCCCTGCATGGTCCCCCATCCTTTGGCTGAAACTGCATGGCCAGTCCTTCCACTGACAGCTACCTGAGGGGCACAGGTGAGTAGTTGTCCATCCGTCCACCTCATCCCCTGTTCTCTTAAACCTCAGGGTGCTTTCCTCAAGTCCTGCCCCTGAGAGGGGGCCCTCGGGCTCGGCTCCCCACCCCGCAGGGTGAGATGATTGACAGGATCGAGTACAACGTGGAGCACTCGGTGGACTATGTGGAGAGGGCCGTGTCTGACACCAAGAAGGCCGTCAAGTACCAGAGCAAGGCCCGCCGGGTCAGTAGCCCCCGCCTGGCTTATGCTCACATCCCCCAGGATAGCCCCTTCCCTAGCACCTGGGAGCCCCCAAGACCCGAAGTCTTTCTCCCTTGGCACCTTCTCTCAAAAGGCCCAGAACCTTCACCTCCCCTAGTCATGGCAACTGCCTCTAATCATAGGCTGGTCTCCTCTGCCCCTCTCCCTCAGCACACCCCTCCCCGCTCTAAAACTTGCCCCAGCCCCTGTCCGTCCCAGCCTCTGAGTGAGCCCCACCTTGCCACCCATGCAGAAGAAGATCATGATCATCATCTGCTGCGTGGTCCTGGGCATCGTCATTGCCTCCACCTTCGGAGGCATCTTTGGATAGAAGCCATGGCTGCCACTTCACTCCGGACTGCTGCCGCCTGGCCTGGTAGCCCGCCCCACTCTGCCTCTGGCTCGGAGCGCCCTCTGCCCCTACCCCATGCTGCTCTTCTCTGCCACACGGCCCTCCCTCCACTCCGCTCCGCCCTGCCCTGAGCTGTGTTGTGTGCATGATCTTTGTGACTGTTTCTGTATGGAAGAGGCAGAGGGGAGGTAGGACGGACTCAGGCCCTGGCCTAAGCTGCCTCCTCTGGCCTGCAGTCATTCCCCTCGGGCCTGGGGTCTCCCTGCTGTGGCACCCAGGTGCCCTCTGGGCCACAGTCTACTGATCCACCTATCTGCCCTGGCCTCTCCAGTGGTCCCCTCCAGCCCAGCCCCCAAGGGGTGAGGACCAGCTGGTCACTTGGTGCTGCTTTTCAGGTTAGGGGAGGGGTGGCCCTGAGGGACAGACAGCCCAGCTGAGCTCCTGATAGCTGATCACTGCCAGGGAGGCTGAGGCTACCACGGCCCCCTCCCCCAACTCTGGGCAAAGCCCACCCCACATTCCCCTAGCCCAGGAGCAACCCCTCCTGGCTCCAGGCTCCAGGCTCCAGGCTCCAGGCAACCCTCTGGAAGAGGCTGGAGCTGGGGAGGCCGCTCCTGCCTGGCCACAGCCGGCAAGCTGGCCCAGCCACTGACTCAAGCCATTGTGTGTGTTGCATGTTTGGGAGTGGTGCCTGCTCTTGTGCTCTGGAAGTCCGCTGTCACTTCAGGCCTGCAGTCACTTCCTGCCCTTGCTGTCCCATTGATGTGCCATGTGGGTGTCAGGCATTCAGTATTGAGCAGCCAGCCAGGGAGGGGCACCCCTCCTCCCCCAATCCAGTCCAGACACCCTCTTCCTCAACAGGCAGGGGGTGTGCACGCCAGTGCATGCAGGACCGCCCAACAGGCCCTCCCTCTGCTTTGCTCCTGCCCCACCTCTGTCCTTGTTGCCTTCAACAGTGACCCCCTCCCCCACCAAAGGTCTTGGTACAACCAGCTGCCCATTTTGTGAAATTTTTATGTAGAATAAACATTTCTATCTGTACCAGATCTCTCTTCTGGGCTTCTTCTCGTCAGCATGTGGCACTGAGGGAAGCAGAGAATCCCACATACACACCACCTTCCAACCAGCACAGTGAAGAGCCTCCAGCCCCCCTCCAGCCAGGACTCCACACAGCTGCTGCTGCGGCGGCTCACTGCCCTACAGTCCTGGGTTGTGCTTTTGCCCCAGCCGCCTGCTTGAGAACAGGCCTATAACCCACTGTGTCACCTCAGGGCTGAAATGACCAGCGCCTCTGCTAAAGGCAGACTTGGAACCTGACGTCCAGGAATACCCCAGAGTAGGGTTAAGTGCTGTCGAGTCAATTCCAACCCAAAGCAACCCTGTATAGGTTTCCAAGAAACAGATGGTGAGCTTGAACCACCAACCTTGTAGTTCAAATGGCTTTGCAATCTGGGCATTAATCCACAGCGTCAAACCAGAGTATACGCCCTCAAATGCTGAGCCTCATCCCATCCCTGAACCTGGCAGCCTGACCATATGGCCCCTCCAGCACTGCCTTACAGTGACCCTGTTTAGGGTTTCTGAGGAGCAGCTGGTGAGCTTGAACTGCGAACCCTGCAATTCAACTGACTTTGGCATGGCCCACCACCCTTAATCCCTACCCCTATTGTTGCCAGTGATCAGGCCCCTGAAAACTGCTTACTGACAGGTAACTTACTCCCCAACTTAAGGCACTAAATCCTGAGTGACAAGAACCCATCTGTGTTCCTTCCAATCAAAACTGAATTCCTGCCTGGTGAAACCAATAGTAGCTGGATTTTGGGGGGCCATAGAGGTGGAATAATACCGGAGAACTTCACAAAAAGTGCTTTATTGCTTGTCAAACAAAATAAGGTGCTCTTCACACTTTTTTTTTTTTTTCCAAGAAGAAAATACTGTGAGAACTCTAGAACTTTTTCCAGACAAAATGTGGTCAACAGAGGAAGTAGGCACTTTAGGAGCAGACACTCCCAGTGTCAGGTGCCCGGCTGGGCACCAAGGGCAGAGCTTTGCCAAGGACACAACGGCTCCTTAGAAACGGGGTTTGCGCTTGCGGCCGGTGTACTGGGTGTCAGGTCGGACTTCCCTATGCACAAGATGGGGTGTGTGTGTGTGTGTGAAGAACAGATGGGTCTCAGGCCCCCCGCACACGCAGCTGAGTCCTTGGCACCAGCTGGCCCACCCTACCCACAGCCCCCCAGCACGCACCTGCCCTGCCGTCTGCGGCGCTCCTTCTTCCGCAGCACCCAGGTCCGGCTCTTCCTGGCCAAATCTCGCTTCACGATCCTATGGGAGACCCTGTGCAGGAGACATGGGCTGTGTGCTGAGAGGTGGCGCTGCTCAGGTGAAGCACTGAGTGCACCCGAGCAGGAAGAGATGGCATGGTGTCCCGAGTCAGGCGGCGTTGGCTCCCCTTTCTTTCAAGTGCCTAGTCAATCGTCCCAACCATAAGAAGCCCCCTTGGGCCAGATCAATGGTGTGGGAGATCCAAAGAGGCTGCCCCCACTTCCTTGGGCAGGCACCTCTCTGGGGAGCGTGGACACCCTGCCTGTGGGGGGTGGGAGGGCAGAGCTATTCTTGGAGAAGACCTACAATTGGGGGCCCAAGAAAAGTCACTTCAGACTCAGTTTTGTCTGAGGCCACTATGTCTGGTATAGCAATGAGGACTGTCGGAAGCAGGAAAATGAAGCCACCCAGCTCATGGCAGTCTCCACGACGATCTTCCAAAGCTGATCTGGGCCCTGGCCCTGGCTGAGGAGAAAGGAGGCCCCCACAGCCCCAAGGGCGAGAGGCCAAGAGCAGGGGCTAACTGGATCCCCTGACCACACCCCGCCTGGCAGCTGGGCTAGTCACAGCCCCTGGACACTCCAGTTGACATGGGCATCCATAACTGCGAAGAGGCCCAAAGGCTGTGACTGGACAGTGGCCGGGCCCACCCACACAAGGCCTCGTGAGTGGAGTACTCAGGGAAGGAGCAGCCCACAGGCAGCGGAGAAAAGCTGGTGACTCAAGCAGGAGTGGGGTGACAGCACTCCCATGAGGCAACAATACAGGAAAACGAAACTCTGAGAGGGGCCAGAGGGAAGGCCAAGGAACAGCAAACAGTCCCATGTGCCAGGAATTACAGGTACAAGAAAGGGGAAGGGTTGCTGTTAAGTGCGGTTGAGTCCGCTCCAACTTCAATGGGTTCAAACCAACCTTGTGTCCAATGCTTATCCTATAGCATCACACAAAGGCTGGGCCAATTCCAGGAGGGCAATAAGCCAACAAGAAACATGGTCCTCCCTCCAGGAAGCAGTGGAGAGCCAATGAACAAGTTTCACCACAGGAAGGACACCATGAGGTGACCTGACTCTGGTGGGCCATAGAGACAACTCAGGCAAGAAACAAAAGGGCCCACAACTAGGGCGCAGATAGAACGGAGGTGGGGGGGGGGGGGGTGAGCCACAGAGGACAGAAGAGGACTAGGGTAACCCAGATGACGCTGGTGGCAGCCTCAAGAAACCAGTGTGGGGGCATGCCATCAAGTTCCCATTGAAGCTCAGACTCTTTAAGGGCCAGATGCGGAAGCAGGACACAGCTGCCAACTTGGGACTGGAGACGCAGGAGACCTAATTCTGAGCAATCTAGAAAGAAGTGGAAACTGGGGACAGTGAGGTCAAGGAAGGAGCAGTGAGTAGGGGACAAAATGTGAGCCAAGAGTCACGAGGGGAAGGCCCCAAACAGCAGGTACTGAGAAGTGAGGACTCCACTGAACAACAGCCAGGAAGGTGGGCTAAGGCAAGTCTTCCGATTGATGACAAGGAAGGCTCTCAGGAGAAGAGTTTAGAGAACAGAGTGGAGGCAAGCTGAGAAGAATTGACGAACACACGGATGCAACTAACTTGGTGCCAAGAAATGTGGATCAGATATGCATCAGGTAAAGCTTTAAAACAAATAGTTTTACAAACCCAGATTTATTTGTAACTGTCCTGAATGGAACTAGACAGAAGAGACTCTAACCGAACTCATCAACTGTCTTTCCAACAGGCACCAACTCCCCTGGCTCCCCCAAATTGCAGGACTGCTGAGTTAAAAGCCTGCAGAAGCAAGGTAAGGAGCCAAGCAGAGCCCTCCACAAACACGCTCTGTGCTTCTGAATACCCTTGGCCCAAGGTGGTGCTGTTAGTCCGGCTTTATGAAGTGGGAGGAATGGACGCTTCAAGGTGACAGAACTTCCCTACGTATAAATTAGGACATGTCGTCTGCGGACACCAGTGTGAGGACAAGCGGGCTCCTCAGATGGACTGAGGGAAGTTAACTCCTCTGTGAAGTAAGACATGGAACCACTCACTGGGAGTAAATAGGGGCAGCAAGTGGTGGGCACCTTAGGGCAGCAACATCTACAGTAGTTCCTACCAGCTCATGTGGAATGGGCTAGGAAGGCTAGACAACTTTGGAGGAGTCATTGTTGTTCACTGTCCTCGTGTCCATTTCAACCCATAGTGACCACAGGTGACCTAGGAGATCTGCCCATGTGGTTTCCTAGGCTGTAATGGACCACAAGGTCAGTTTGGACCATAAGGTCAGTGGTTCAAATTCAGCAGCTGCTCCTCGGAACCCCTACACAGGGTCGCTATGAGTCAGAACTGACACATAAAAAATTTATTAACAGTAAGTTTTTAATGTAGCAGACTGCCGAGATCTTTCTCCTACAGAGTCACGGGGTGGGTATGAACCACCACTTTGTGGTTGGCAGGCAAGTGCTTAACCATTAGGCCACCAGAACTCTTCAGGGATCAGAAAGCCTCAGTCTGCAGTGAACATGAGGCCTACTCAGGATTTCCACCACTGGCGGTCCTTAAAGGAAAGGCAGTGCCATTAAGGGCCATCAAGTTAGTTCTGACTCATAGGTACCAACCACCTTGTATAGGTTTTTCCCAGGAACAGCTGGTAGGTTTGAAACACTGACCTTGATGACCCTGTGGTTAGCAGTCTAGTGCTATGGATGATCACAGTATGGCTTACATTTTTTTTTAAAAAAAAAAAAAAGAAAAACTCAAGTCTTGGAACTGTGTAAAAAGTAAGTTGAAACACTGTAAGAGGTGGCAACTAGAGAGACGTTAGAATGGGGAAAGGGTTGCTTTTGGGTCTGCTGATGGATTGGGTGGAGATGGAAGGAAAGACGGAAAGACAGAAAGGAGAGGGCAGGGTGCAGGGAAGGCAGTTCAGGTGAAAGCCAAGTGCTGTGTGTCCTGGAGCAGCAGGCTGGTCATCAGGTGAGCTAAGACTGAGTTAGGAATTCAGAGTTGCATTCTGGCGCCATACAGATAAGGGGGTCCAGGCTGGACCCACAGTATGCCACAAGAGGCATCGATAAAGTCTGGGAAAGGACAGCCACCAAGAGACAACTGGGTGTGAGTGGCTCCTGAGCCCAGTAAAGAGAAGGAGGGAGCTCACTGAGCAGGCAAGTTCAAACCAGAGAGATAAAGACCCAGACTTGGCAAGAGAGAGGTGACCTTGACAAGAGCCAACGTGTGACATGGAAGGATAAAGCTTCAGCAACAGCAGGAAATTCACTATAAAAGGAAGCAGATAAATGGACAGAAGGGAGGATTTTTTTGTACCCCGTGTGTCTGGGTGGCTGATGGGAATGACCCAGGAGAGGGAAGGGGGTGTGTCAAGAGAGGAGGACAAAGACAGCCTGTTCAATGTGGGAGGAGGCAAGGTGTCCAGACTTTTGTAGCTACCCACACATTCAGATGGGCCCTAACCCAATGCCAGAGCCAGCACAGCCCAAGGAGGTCTTTGGTTCTCATGCCACCTATTGTCACTGCTGCGTATAAACCTGAAAGCTGGACAGAAGCAGAGAAGTCCTGCCTCCGCCATGATGTCCACAACAGTTCTGGCTGCTGTGAGGCTGAGGCCTGGACAGCAAGGGCTTTACCTGTCACTGGTGAATGTGGACTGCCTGTCTTCGCCTGCATCCGTTGGGTCACTCGGTCCCTTCAAGAAGCACAGAGATTTTAGACCACCCAGGACAGTTCTCAACCCACCTGTCCCACCCCACGAGGGCTGAGTCCTTCCAACAGATAGTAGAACCACCACCCTATTCTGGGACCTGGAGAGCAGATTCCAGAGGATTCATTCCAACATGCCATGCTCCAGGTTTGGAACCTGCTCTACCTATGTCGTTCTTCTAGCATGCTGTTCAGGTCTGCAAACCCAGGGCCCCTCACCGTTGGCAGAACGCTCGAAGACCCAGAAATCCCAGAAAACAAACAGAGGTAGAACCTGAAACAAGAAAGAGCAAGTGAGGCCCTCCCTCCAAGGACAGGACCCCTGGTCTGGATGACCCAGCTCAGCACTCTACCAGTTCCTGAGGTAGGGGACTTCATGTGGCCCGGCTGACGCTCCCACCCCCCCTCACTCAGGCAACACTCACTTCTTGGCTTTCGCACTATTGGGATAGTCCACCACCATGCCCCCGGTGAAACCAGCCTTTGTAGCCTGAGTCATGATCAGCTCCAACTGGGGGAGAACAGACAGTCAGACTATGGAGGCCAGAGGCACATCCAGCCTCACCTCCACGCCAGCAAAGGAGCCAGTCTGCTTCTAGGAGGAACCCAGCCTGGGACATATGAAGCCTCTGTCACAGACCCTTCCCACTGCCGAGTCCTGAAAAGCCAGGCTGAGAAAAGCAGACTAGAACCAGTCTTCCCTAAGCATCAGTTTCTTATCCGGGAACTCCGGACTCATGCCATGTCACAGGGCAGCTATGAGTCAGAATTGACTCGATGGCAGTGGAATTGAGTCGGTGCTACCATCACAATCTGACACCATCTTTCGTGAGTCAGGAAATGCACCATCGGGGCCACGGGGACCCTCCTCCCACCAAGCAGCCTAACGGGTCACTTCCCAGCAGCAGGAGGAGAGGTGAGGGAGGAGCTCGCTCTGGACGCCCCCCACCCCTATGCCTCCATTGGCCACGGGACCCGGGGGGGTTCACCTGCTCCGAGTTTTCCGGGTACACTTGAAGGACAGCGCGGGCGCCACGGACCTGCCAAAACAGAAACAGCACCATGTTACTACCACCTGTGGACTCCAGCCTGAGACGCCTGTCTCTCTGCACTCTTGACGTCTGTACTCCACTATGTGTGAACACTGCTCATAGGGCAGAGGACACAGGTGTGGGGACAGCAGGAACGCCAGCCTGAGCTTCAGGAGCACACAGCCACTTTAGAATAACAATACGAACCAGAGGAAAATAAATGGGGACAAATGGGTGACGTCTGGCCTCTCTCTGAGGAACCCGTGAGCACAGAAGTAGTGGGGAGCTCAAGATGTAACAGCAGGATTTCAGCGAAGGGCAAACGTCCCCAGAACGACAGGATGAACCCCAGTATGTGGGGGACAGAAATCCTGTCATCTGCAAGGCCCCCCACCTATGGGAGCGGTAACTCCTCAGAGGGAGGGAGCAGGAGCTGCAGAAGGGAAAGGACGGAGAACAAACAAGAGGGTGGCGGAGAGAGAGGACATGCAGTGAGGAGCTCTGTCAGCAACAACACAGAACACCGGACCAAGCAGGCTCAGGGATGGTGCCACAACTCTGAACCACATCTAAAGGAATATTTAGATGGTTGGAAGGTTTACAATGGAATTTGTAGCAGAAGCAAGAAATCCAGTGCTTTCTAATTCAAGACACTCAGCTGCTCCCAGAGGCACCATCTAGGGCGAGACCAAGCAGGAGAAGGATCAGAGCAGCTATGGACACCTGACAGAACCAGAGATACAGGTGTGGACATTCTGGGGTTTTTTTGGTGTCTATTCACTGGTCTCTCGCTATCTGCAACCTCCATTCCGGTGACTATAGGGGGTGCCTGAGCGAGTGGACACTCCACCCCCACCCACAGAGGGTTCTACTACGCATGCGCACAGATCTCCTCAAAATTTAAAGTGACAGTTTCCATTTAAAACCAAACGGCCACAGCCAGCCCTGAACCATTTATCACTAGGAAAAACACCTGAACGGGGATTGTGGAGTAGGACAGGCACACTAAAAAGGAAATAGGCCAAAAATTAAATCCTGAGTTACATCACAACGACCAACAGTGGCATCTTGAAATTACTCAGGAACAAGAGTGAAAAGGGAAGCCCATCTCCTAATCACAACCACCTGGAGGCAATCAGAAAGCATAAAAAATACCAAAATACACACCTATCTAAGTATTAAGGCCACAGATAACTCCTGAATATGCCCAAAAAACAGAAACAGATGACCATATCTGCACATGTCCAGAAACGAGATAAAGTGACTGAGGCAAATGAGCTGGAAGGAGACCTACACCCCATACTGGAAGATGGGTAGGCTTTGGAAATGCCAGACAAGGATAAGGACAGAATCCTGAAAGCAGCTAGGGAAAAAGAAATGTAACATACAAAGGCAAGCAAATCAGATTAAGCTCGGATCTCTCAACAGAAACCATGCAGGCAAGAAGGCAATGGGGAGACATATATAAAACCCTGACAGAAAAAAATACCACCCAAGAATCCTCTACCCAGCAAAGATGTCAATCAAATATGACAGTGTGATCAAAACATTCCAGGATTAATAGAAACTAAGGGATTTTGCCAAAACCAACCCTGCTATGAAAAACATCCTAAAGGAAGTTCTGTGGACTGAGAACGAACAAGAACAGACAACAACCAGAGAATGACGTATGTGGCAGCATCACCCTGAACTCAACTGACAAATGGAAGAGTCAAGAACAGAATAAAATTATAAGAACAGAGGATCTGGGAGGTCAGTCTATAATCAAAACTATTACAATGTGGAAGAAAGAAGAGGAAAAAAAGAGTAATGTGATACAATTTGATGAACTTGACCTATACCTATGGATGCAGTAACTCAAAAGAGGGAACAAATTTTTACAGCGAGGATCATTCCCACCCCCTCCATACACAGAGTAGACAGAGATGGGCAACTTGGACATTGGCAACCCAAAGTGGAGGTTCTACAAAGGCAAGAACTGACTGGCTTACAAGCTTTCGAGAGGGAACCTAGATCCAGAGGGAGTGGAAGAAGGTAGAATCTCCACTAAGTAGTATCCAATCTGTCTGGGCGGGGCTGATGAAAGGAGATGCAGATAGGTCTCCTGTGATACAACAGTGAATAACTGGTATCAGGAGTAGCTGGTAGGTCTGAACTGCTAACCTGTCCAGTACTCATCCTACAGCAACAGATCAAGACAATGCCAATGGGCCAACCGAGGACATCAGCTAGCTTGTTAATAATGTAAGGAGTATGGAGAGCATCCTTGTGGCAGTAGTAAGTGCCGTCCAGTTGGGTCTGACTCACAGCCGCAACCTTACACACAACAGAACTAAACACTGCCTGGTCCCGTGCCATCCTCACAATCGCTATTAGGCTGAGCCCACTGCTGCTGCCACTGTGCCAATCCATCTCACTGGGGGCAAGAGGGGGGCAGCAGTGTCTTCCTCTTTTTCACAAACTCCGCACTTTACCAAGCATAATGTTTCCTTTTCCAGGGACTGGTCCCGATGTGAGGAGTGATTCATGTTGCTACCCCAGTAGCCTTAAAATGAGCCATCCCAGAGGCTGGAAGGGGGGAGCTCACTAAGACCAAGAAAGAAGAGAGCCAGGTATAGAGCACTCGCTTTGGACCCAAGATCCGTGCACTGAAGCTCTTCGACCCAAGCGGTTAACACCTGAGACAGCAAGAAGCAGTAGTAGAGAAAAGGTGGCAGCAGAGCCATGAAACCAGCACGAGACTGGCAAGATACAGCCCAGTGGGCTTCTAGACCACAGACTGAAAAAACTAAGTACCTATGGGCAGGAAGCACGCTGGCAGAGTGGGGTGTTAGTCTGCCAACCCATGGAGCTAGAGCCAAGTACCTGCAGGACAGAGAGCTATGTAACACTTGCCCGAGCTGGCCTGAAGACTACAAAGAGGCCAGCCTTCAACTTCCCTGATAAAATCATATTGTCTTGGAGTTCTCTGTGGTCACGGCAATGAATGAGCAAAGCCAGCAGAAAGCTAGAGTGCCATGGGAGGGACGGTTGGAGCCATGTCTGACCTTTGTTTCATGGGAATCGGCCTTGGGCTGTTGATATTGACACTCTCTCCACTTGTGAAGTTATAAGAGGTCAGACACCCCTGTCATGCCCCTTTTATAGTAATAAATACACAAACAGACCCTATTCCATTATTAGTGAATTGGTCTAGGGAGAGTCTGCCCACTAACCTTTAACTTCTGTTTAGTCTGAGACCCATATGAATGACCTTTCCCATGGGACACCTCTGCTTCATCACCTGCAGGACCGGGGGCGCGGGGCAGGCAGGTAGCCTGGGTGGGAGAATTCATACTCACCAGCACAGAGTAAAGAGAAGAAAAAAAGCAAAACAGGCGCTTGACAGGGTTTTCAGACTTCTTGTTTGCATTACAGAGCCACTGCACCGCTGAAATGCTGGAAAGAAGGGTGGGCTCAGTCAACAACGGCCCTGTTGCCCCAGCCCCTGGAGACCCCAACAGTCCTGACTACCAGCTGAACCCTCCTGCCCACCCTGCGACAACAGTGCATCCAACAGTCTATGCAAGGTCACTGTTAAATGTTTTGCAGCTGGCTCCGGGGAAACCTTTCTCCAGCTTGTTTCTACCTGCCTCTGAAGTTAAACTTACATGGCTCAGTGTGCCATGTCCGTCTCCCACCACTCCTTATTTCCTCCAGGGAAATGCGCTTTACAGCACAAATACAAAGCCGTTCAGGCACTCACCTCACCGCTCCTCAGCTCCATCTGTCCAGTGTCCCCACAATCCCCAGCCCTGTACTGCACACTCTCCTTCCTGACCTCCCTTCCACACAGAGCTTTCACATGGAGATGGGACTATGAAGAAAGGCTGATGGGCTGTTTCCTAACACCTGCTAGTGAAAACCCTCTGGGTCCCAGGAGCCTGGTGTGCACCCATCATGATGAGAGCACAGGACGGGGCAGCCGTCCATTGTACATGGGGTAGCTGGGAGCTGGGGACCCACTCCCCGAGCAGCTGAGAGCAACTACTCTCCTGGGCTCACACTCACCACTGGTTGGATCGGACTACTTTGTACATAGGATGGGAGTGTAGTTGAGACTAGAATAGGACTTTGAACCACAAGATCAGTGATTCGAGCCCACCAGCTGCTCAGCAGAAGAAAGATGAGGCTTTCTGCTCTGCAAAGATTTACTATCTCTGTAACCCTGTACGGGGTTGCTATGAGTCAGAGCCGAATTGACAAAAACATTTCAAAGGAAGGAGTTAGTGTTTTAGGAGCCAAGTCCTCAAAAAAAGCCAATCCTACCCATCCTGCTCCCCACCCTCAGAACCCTGCCCGTCACTGGCCCACATCTTGTGCTAAGAGATTCTGCTATGGGTTTTCCTTTTTTTGTGTGGGGGAGGGGAGAACTGAGTGAAGCTTTATAGCGCAGATCACCCATTTTACATCCAACAAACCACACACTTCATCTCAGTGATTACAGTCCCCTCAATGTGACAGGACAACACACATCCCACAGTTCCTGGTTTCCGCTCCTGCTGCTTTCCCCGCCCTTCTGCGTTTTGTCCTGAAATGAATGCTGCCCTCTGGTCTCAAAAGGTTGACCATTCTATGGTGTGTGCACTCACTAGTGTCGCTGTCCCCTAGACTTAGCCACTGCTTCACTGAAAACGGAACCACACGAATGTACAAAGACTCTTAAAGCCGGAGTGTTTCATTTGCACCTACTCCACAGAGCCTCGCCATGTCTTCCTACACATAACAAATGACAAATGAAAAAAAAAAAAGTGCTCAGCACACAAACCACACTACTGGTCACTGCTTTCAGTAGGCTAGACCATCTCACTTAGCCATGACAGAGCACTTGCCACTCTTGAAGGGGTCTCTAGTGGTCAGACTTGTTCCCAATCCAAATTTTTACTCCCTTCTCTGACACCTCAACGCCCCTGCCTCTTGATCTTGGCTCACCAGAGGTCTGTACCCAGGTTATGACGAAGGTGGGACCCCCCCCCCTTCCTGTCTCTGCCTCATACTCACAGTAAACGACAGATAATCCATGTTTCTAACAATCATTTCTGTTTTATAAAATCTGTGAATAAGGTACTGTGCACATGCTTCAAACTCAGGGGACTTGACCCTAACCACCTAGGAAGAACCCTAAGCCACTGAAGAGACTGGTCTGGGCCACTTGAGTGCTCTTGAAAGTGAAGCCAGGCCAACAAGATGGTTCCGAGAGTCTAAGACTCTGCATCTGTGGGGCCTGAACCAGCCAGTGCAAAGTAATCACAGGAGTGGGAAGTTTTGAAATGCAAAACACACACCATGCTCTGAGACTCCATAGACCTGAAAACCCCAGGGACATGCACATTTGTGACTGTCTCATGTGACTCTGCTGCCCAGGTCTGGAGTGCATTGGCCTGAGGATTAAGAACTGGAAGCTACTGCCTCTCACCTGATACAACCATCAAAGGAACCTGGTTTGAAGGGGATGCCCTGGCCCATGTCCCCAAGCAGCAGGTCTCCCTCAATGTCTCGGTCCAAGGCCGCATCTAGGTTGGAGAAAGGAAGTTAAGGAAAGAGTCGACCCGTACAGCTGCTCCATCAGGAAGGTAATCCACTCGAGTCCAAACAGAACACACTTACCCAACATGGCAGAGCTGATGTCAATGCCCACCCAATAGTGTCCCTCATCCGAGAGATAGTCTCCGCTCAGTCCAGTGCCACAGCTGGAAAACACAATCAACCAAGGACTGAGCAGTGCGTAGCAGCCCCACCACCTGGAAAGCATAGCCAGTCTCCAGATCTCACCCAACATCCAGCAGGTAACAGGGCCGGTCCTCAGGCAGATATAGGAGCTCCAGGGCTCGCCCTGCCATCTGAGACTGGACATCAATCATCCGTGAACTGGAAAGACAGACAGAAAGATGGACTGATGAGGGAGTTTCCCCAGACCCAAAAGAGCCAAGTAAAATAAAAAGGGACAACCATACGGAACGGAGAGACTTTCCTGATCCCTTCATTTGGTAATTTTAATCACTCTAACATCTATTTTAAAGTGAAAAGGTCCATACAGCAGTTATTTTGTTATAACAAAAATTTTAACTGTACCAGTTGCAAAGCTGCTGCATTAGTTAATGACCAACCATTAGGCTTTAATGCACCCTTCCCCTGGTGTGGCACTTGTAGAATAAGCATTGGACCGCAAGGTTTGTAGTTCAAACTTACCAGCTGGTCCTCAGAAACTCTACACAGGGCCGCTCTGAGTTCAGCGGCACTTAATTTATTCAAGACCTGTTTTCCCAAGAACCCCCATTGCTGTTATGCACTACTGAGCAGATTCTGACTCTCAGTCACGCTACATGGCAGAATAGAACCGCCCCAGAGGACCCCCAAGGCTATGTTCTTTATAGGCGCCAGGAGTCAGGGCTTTCACCAGAGGACCCACTGGGTGAGTCTCAACTACTGCACCATCAGATCTCTCTCCAGCAGCCCATCAAGGGAGTTTCAAAACGTTCTTGAAAACATTCTATGATCTTCCCACCCCTCTTCAGAGTGTCCCAGATGAGATGCAGAGATCTGCAGAGGGAGCTCCCTTGCAGGTCTACCTTGGTGCAGGGGAGGGTGGGGTGTGTCTCTCCAATGCCCATTTTTCTGGTTTTAAAATGCATTTTTGCTTTATTATACAAAGCAATGCTCAAAAACATTTCTGGATATCATAATTCACCATTATAGAGACCACAGTATTAAAATGGAATAAAGATCACACTGTTCTGTATTAAACAATTTCCATTATCTGTTAATTCCGTCTTTCCAACCACTTTTTGAAGTCTGCTCATGTAGGTGTTACCAATGCTTTTGCACTACAAAACCAGTGCTGTCCATGAGGAGTACAATGCAAACCACATAAGGACTTTCTGGTACCCTCGGTTCAAGTAAGAAATGTTTTTACAGGTTAAAAACATTCAGTAATAGTTTACTAAATCTAATGAATTTAATATTGTATGTTACTAAATCCACACAAAATCAACAGCAACACAAACATATCAGCAAAAGATTTTGGTTTCTTCTTATTTTCATAGCAGGTCATTCAGACTAGCAGCCACCCTTCAAAAGAGAGCAACTTACTAACTTACTGGGCAGAGTGTGTCCGTAGTGTTGTTGTTGTTGTTATGTGCCATGGAGTCGGTTCCGACTCACAGCGACCCTGTACAGGGTTTCCAAAGCTGTAAATCTTTACAGGAGCACAGAGCCTCATCTTTCTATTGCAAAACAGCTGGTAATTTCAAACTGCTGACCTTGCATTTCACAGCCTGATTCCTAACCACTGTGGCCTTCTCAAAATCTAGAGAAAGACTCTCACTTCATAGTTCTCAAAATGCCTAACATTTAACACAGGACTTGTCAGCTAAGAGAGATACGTTATTTTGACACATGACAATTGGGCCTATTATTTTTGCTGACCTAATGAAAGGAGTGAGGCTGTGTTTCGTTCTGCTGTGCATAAGGTCGCTATGAGTCACTACTGACTCGATGGCACCTAACAACACCAACAAATGAAAGGAGAAAGTGGGTATCAGAACTTTTTCTATAGCATACTGTATTGGAATCCTGGTGTGTAGTTATAGGATAAGCACTGTAGAATAAACCCACCAGGCACTTGTTGGAAATACAAAATGTGATACAACTTGATTACTATTGACCTTTGATGAAATTCAGATATTATGAGGGGACTTATTTTTCAAAAAGCTTGTAGAAAAATCACAACATCTTTGAATTTTATTTTATCCAGAAACACTTCTGACGCCCCCTCGGACCACTGAGGATTAACTGGAATTGCATAATGTTGTTAAATGCTGAAAAGCCGGTTCCGATTAATAGTGACCACGTATATGGTTTTCAAGGAGTGGCTAGTGGGTTAGAACCGCCGATCTTTAAGTTAGCAGTCCAGTGCTTATCCAGCAATGCCACACCAGGTCTCAGAAATCATATAATTTGTTGTTGTTGACTGCAACCGAGTCGGTTCTGACTCATAGCGACCCCGTGTAGGGTTTTCCGAGGAGCGGTTGGTAGGCTTGAACCAGTGACCTTGCCTACTGACAGCGCCACAGCAGGCGGCACACACAAAGCATTCTAAAAACACTGTCCCCTCCCCCCAATATGGCGTCCTGGTGACGCAGTGTGATCAAGCGCTGAACTGCAAGGTCGGAGGTTCAAACCCACCCACCGCTCCCCGGAAATCCTATACAGGGTTGCTGTAAATTGGAACCGACTCAATGGCACTTAACAACAGTAAGCCCCCAACATACACAGCCCCTGCCTAAGTCCACTAACCGCGTCAAAACAAACTCGCATTAAATTTTGAAAACCACCGATAAAATCATTCCCATTATAAAGATGCGGGTCCGGAGGCCCAGAGGATCCCGTGATTTGCATGATGAAAGGGAATTCTGCCAGTGGAAGAAAGGGGATCAGCGCTTCTGCCACCCAAACTCAAATGCTACGTGCTTTCCTAACACAGTCCGCAATGCACCGGTTCCCGACCCCAGGCCCCCAGACGCGGACGCCGCGCGACATCCACGAGCTCCTCACTTGCGAACGTATTTCCGGGCTTCATTCTGATCGTAAAACTGCGGGAGGAAAAGAGAACGAAAAGAGCGGTAAGGGGACGATGCTAGACACTGTAGTCCTGCGAAAGGCAACAGGGGTGTCGCTGCCCCAGCCTCACCAGCTCCGGGGGTCCGCCATGCTCCGGTCTCCGCCCTCCACAAGCCATCCTCGCGTCTCCACAGCACGCCGCCTACTAGCGGCTCGTGGACTCAGCTTTTATATCATCGGCCCGGCGACCGCCTCGTAATACGCATGCCCCATACCCTCGCCCTGCCTTCTTTTTACCTGATTGGCTGCAAGGCTGACGCGCTGCGAAGTACTCTGGCCTTCTATTGGCCAATTCCTCTGGTCCCCGCCCGACGGATCCACTCAAGATGGCGGCCAAGTGCGATAGGAAGTGGCCGCGGTTGCTGCTGTGGAGGTTGAGGCCGGCGGGGATAACGCCAGCAAATGATCGATCGATCCTGGGTCTAGGAGTGTGGACTCGTTCCTGGAGCGACGGCCCCTATTCGCGCACGGCGCTCTACGAGCTCCTCGGCGTCCCCACCACAGCCACGCAAGCACAAATCAAGGCGGCCTACTACCGGCAAAGCTTCCTCTATCACCCGGACCGCAACTCGGGGAGTGCCGAGGCTGCTGAGCGCTTTACCCGCATCTCCCAGGCCTACGTGGTGCTGGGCAGTACCACCCTCCGCCGCAAGTATGACCGCGGCCTGCTCAGCGACGCGGACCTGCGCGGACCCGGAGTGCGGCCCTCCAAGACCACCGCAGCCGATGCCAGCGCGCCCCGCCACCCGCCGTCCGCCTCTCACGGCGGCGGCAAGGCCCCGTCAGGTGCCCCGCGCACCATGTTCAACTTCGACGCCTTCTACCAGGCGCACTATGGGGAGCAGCTGGAGCGGGAGCGGCGCCTGAAAGCTCGGCGCGAGGCCCTCCGCAAGCAGCGAGAGGACCAGGCCCGGAGGGGCTTCCGCTGGGATGACACCCGAGATGCGACTTTCGTCCTTCTGCTCCTCACGATCTTTGTCATCATGAGTTTTCGAATGTGATTAGAGAGAGGGGGGAAAGGAAACCCTTCCCCGCTACCCTCCAGAGAAACTGGCCTCCCATTGCTCCGCGCACCCAGCTCAGCGATTGACCTTCACATCCCTCCCCTAAGATCCAGAGAAGGAGCCCATCCGACGCCTAAGAAAAAGGGGCCCAGACATGAAGAGACTCGACTTCTAGGGGTGAAGGGTCAGAGAAGACGGCTCTTCTGGGGTCCCCTGGTGGTCTACCTCCTTGGTGTCAACTTCTGGATCACTAGCTCTCCCTTCATTGTGAAGCCCCGAGCAAGAATTGGTTGTCACTTCTTGCCCACGTTTGGACTATGGGGCTCCTCTGTAACCTTGCAATGTGACCAAGCGTTGGCTGCCAAATGAAACGCTCTGGGCTTGCGTGACCCTTGTCTTTCTGTGCCACGGGGAAAGTGGGGCCTGGAGTAAGAGGGGGATGTGTGAAGACCTAACTAGTTCTCTAATGTGGACCCCTTCTCTCTTCTGTTGGAGGCATGGAGGAGTGGGGAAACAAGGTCTCCAAACATGAGGAATGAGTGCTCCTGTGTGCACATTTGTCTCCTGCATGACTTGGAGACGTTCACTGTGTGGGCCCCATGGCAGAGGACTCCTGCCCCGCTCCATTACTAATGGTCCTAATGGACTCAGTGGTTAGACCACGTTGCTAGAAAGGCCAGTGTGACTATGGGACAGTGTGCCAGTCACCTTTACCAGCCAACCTCAGTGCTGACTGTACAGCCCATCCCCAAGTACAAATCCAGCCATAAATTCAAAACTTGATTTCCCTGAGTGCGATTGGTCCATCTTCCTGTTTAGCAGGCAGTGCCTATCACAGCCCCCATGAGCCCAGTCTCGAAGCAAAGCTGCTTAAGACCATGAGAAATGTCAGGCGGTTGGAGTACACAGGACCTCTGAGGAGACTAATGCCACTGGTCTAAGGAGAAACCGGGTGCCTTGTGCAGAGCTGGCTGAGGTTTCTTTTGTCAATTTCTCAGTTGCTAAGCAGTTGGTCCTGGTGTGGCACTGTGGGTTAATGTGCTAGACTGCAAAGTCACTTTGTATCACAAGGTTGGTGGTTCAAGCTCACCAGTTGCTCCTTGGAAACCCTATACAGGCTTGCTATAAGTTGGAACCGACTTGCCGGTGCTGTGGGTTAATGCGATGGACTGCAAAGTCAGTTTGAAACACAAGGCTGGTGGTTCAAGCTCACCAGTTGCTCCTTGGAAACCCTATATAGAGTCGCTATGAGTCAGAACTGACTCAGTGGCTCTTAATTAACAACAACAAGCAATTGGTCATCCCCTGTAGTAGGCAGGCTCACTTAACCCTGAACCACTGTCCTTGGAGAATGGGTTATCTGTGGGATTGTAGGTTCTCAAGTGTGTGTGTAGGTGCTGAGGCTAAGGGTAAAGCTGTGAGATGGGAAAACTCTCAAGAGGCCTGCCCAAGAGCAAGGCCCTGAGTCTAGGGTCTGAACAGAGAGGTCCTTGTAACACTAATTCCTCCATGCACTCTGTTGTGTCAAGTCTTTGTATACATTTTGATAAGCCTGCAGTTAGTGGGACTGGAAGTCTCTGGAAGCCATTCAGTTCTTTAGCCTTGACAGTAAGGGGCAGGCTCTTAGCCACAGCTTTGCAGCAGCCACACAATCCAATAAATGGAAACATTTGAGCCCACTGGGCTTCAGGCCTGATTGGCTAGTGAGCCTTGATTTGAGGGGAGGGGAGAGATGTACTTTCCAAAAGCACATTTCATGTTACTATGTTGCATATTTGGAAAACAAGAGAGAACAACCATTGTCTGTTCTTTTTTTTTTTTTTTTTTTTAATGCAAGCTACAGGAAATAAAGTTGAGCAAAATTACAGAAACTGCTAATTCTCAATCAAGGAGTTAGAACTTGGAGCAAAAATCTTGTGTTTTGTCAAAAGGGGTCAGGGCTCTTTCTGGTTTTTGATTTGTGAAAGCACTGGGAGTCTGTCCTAACTGGGATTTTTTTCAGCTGACCCTTGGTAGGAAGCTCTGGTGGCTAGTGGGTTACACGTTGGGCTGCTAACAATAAGGTCAGCAGTTCAAATCCACCGATTTCTCCGTGAGAGAAAGATGAGACTTTCTACTCCTGTAAAGATTTATGGAGTACTGGTGTGGTACTGTAGGATAAGCACTGGACTGCTCATCATAAGGTCAGTGGTTCAAACCCACCAATTAACTGCTCCTTGAGTCACTGAATTGGAGCTGACTTGATGGCACTTAACAAAAACAGTCATGACTCATTAGTAGATCATGAAATATATGCACTAAGTCTTCATCATCCCTTGTAGGGTATCTGGTGTGGTGCTGTAGGTGCAGCACTTGGCTACGAATCACAAGGTTGGCAGTTCACACCCACCAGCTGCTCTTCAGAGACCCTGTACAGGGTCACTATGAGTCAGAACCGACTCGGTAACACTTGAACCACAACAGCCAAGATTTGTGGCCTGGGAAACCTCTACAGAATTGATGTGAATCAGAACTGGCTTCACAGCACACAACAACAATATAAACCACTCAAGGTTATCATCTCTCAATGAAGATCACAGCCAAGAACATTTCTTAGCGCCCCAGAACCTGGAACTACATAGAAAGTTCTAGGTTTCAGGCAGAGAGGAGGGCCCAGACTACATGAAAACTCGCAGAACATCCCATATACTTTCACTCAGGGTGGTTAAGCTTATTGACCATCTAACATTAAACCTAGTCCAGAACTAGGCTCTCCCCAGTCTGTGGTGGTCAGCCCCACCTGCCTGAACATTGAGATCTTTTCAGGCCAGAGCTGAACAGTCCCCACCCTCCCTAAAACAGCCTGGGCTCTTATATGGCAAGTGAGGTGTTGGGGAGGCCTTGCAAAGGACCCCATCTGTTCCTATCATTTCTCCCTTCCTGGCCTACCCTCAAAGGGGTTGTCTTCGTCTTCCCTTACTCTGTTTCTTGCCTGCCCTGAAGAGGGGTAGGGAAGCTGGACTCGGCCCTGAACTTTAACCTCTGCCTTCTAGAATCTGCTATTTCCTTATAGCGGAGGAAGGCAGTCCATCCTTAAGTCCCTTTTCCCCTTTTGGTCATAAACTAAAAGATCTGCAAATGTGGACCCAGAAGGGGAGGTCTGAGCAAGAGGGAGCCATCCTCCACAGGGTATGAATGAATACTAGAGTGAGCCGCAGGTACCCCCTGGGAGAGGCCTACCAGGAGATAGGACAGGAATCAACTGCACACATTTAGGCAATTGCTGTTGTCTGTGGATTTCACCTGGGCTTTATTCCCACTGAACCAGATTGCTCTGTCCCTCTTGCCTTTGATTTTTTTTTTTTGCTTGGTGAAATGTTCCTTTACGGAGAGCCCAGTGTTGGCAGGAGTAGGCTTCTTGTTACTTTCTGAGGTTCTGGCATTTCTTTCATTGGAGGCACCTTCCATCTTAACTGGTGTGTGCCAAGGTTAGTAAGACTAGCTGACTTTAGACCAGAGTTGTCATACTCTAATAAACTCTGGCAGACCCGCTACCAGCAGGGGTGAGGAACATCTGCTTGCGGGCTATATGTTGTTAAGTGCCATTGAGTCTATTCTGACCCATAGTGACCCTGGATATGTTGTTGTTGTTATGTGCCGTCGAGTCGGTTCCTACTCATAGCAACCCTGTACGGGGTTTCTGAGGCTGTAAATCTTTATGGGAGCAAAAAGCCTCATCTTTTGATGACAGCTGGTCATTTCAAACTGCTGGTCATTTCAAACTGCTGACCCTGAAGTTAGCAGCCTGATTCGTAACCACTAAGCCACCAGAGCTCCTTTGACCCTGGATATAAGGCCTTCAAAATCATTCGGTCTGGCCCTGCCAACAACTGCAGTTCCAGGTAAATTAATCAAATATTTGACCAAATACAACAGGCTAATTTTTTAATTTGATATGTGATACTGTGGGTTAAGTCCTGGTGTGGCGCTGTGGGTTAATGCGCCAGACTGCAAAGCCGTTTGAACTT